GAGATGGCTGGGAAATTACCGTCTGCTGCACGGGAATACTAGTTAGAATAATAATACTTGCGCGACTGTTCAAGCAGCAGTTCCTGTTATTTATTTGCATTGAAGTGGGGCGTCGGAGTCTTTACTGTATGTGCTGTCCTGCAGACGAGATGCACATATTATTGGAGTTGCATTTGTGTTAGCATGTTTTCGCTGTGTAGGAATGTTTCACGTCAGGCATGGGTTGTTTTTGTAGAATTGTCGAATATTGCGGTCGGGCAGTTCCGAAGGTAAGTTGGAAATGCTCAATAATTTCATTAATTTTCGTACATCACATTACGTAATCATTTCCTTAATTTTCTTATAGACTGACGGTTGTTTTGTCAATTCAACTGTAAGGTGTTGGAGCTCAAATTAATAATAATATTCTGCAGGCTCTTCATACTAGTCCAGGCCCTCTCTCTTCCTAGACTCTGTCGTTATACACTGAAAAAAAAAGATGGGTTTGTGCTTGGTACCAATTGCCCAGTACCAAACTGGCACTTGTTTCCGTTTTTGCGCGTCGTTTGCGTCAATAATGACGTCATAAGATGTGTTACAAGGTTTTTCACAGTCAGTTTGTTTGGTCTGGTAAAAGCGAGACGCTGATATGTTTTGAGATGGAAATCTGTGCAGGATTATTCACCTCGACCGATTCGCGCGTAAAATTGCCGTATGGAATTTCGGAACCAGCTGCTGTTTATTTTTAGAATGTAGCAGTTGGATGGTTTAAAGGGCGCTGCATACAATAATGAATTGACGTAATGAATTTTCTCGAACATGGGGTTTAGCGTATTTTTTCAATGTTTCAATGGAATTTTGCTGATAAGCAGTGTATGCCTGTATTTATTATTTTGTGGTTTGAAAGAGCTCAATTAGCTTGCTATCGCATGGTCCATGCGGTTTGAACCTTACATAACAGAGGTGCTGCAGTCGATGCCGGCGAGGACTTCCATGGATTTATGTATCGGCTGTCTATTAGGCCTGTTGTGGGGTTTGACCTCCACCCATGTCATTTAGTATAATTCCTGTCATAAGCGCAGAGTTTTCCGCGGACCACATTAGATTTACCACTTATCATTGAAGTTAATAGCTCTGTGCACTGATGACGTAGCATTGTGTTTACTGCAGTGCATGATGGGAGAGGGTCTTCCTGCCATGAAATGTCACACGTTCGAGTTACAGTCGATCACAAGAGAGTGTAAGGCACAATCTTACCGTTTCCAGTTGTGGAAAATTTCCCCAGGAGATTTGAAAACAATTGCCTTTTGGAAACGGAGATAATCGTACTTGATATGCTTAATATTATGATAAATTTTGTACTTTGTACATAGATGAATCCCATTCTATCCCACCAATGCACTGCCTTCAACACTGATACGTCATCTGTTGATGGCCGTTTTGGCCGTTGAATACTTTTTTGGGCTGTTTTAATGCCCTTTAGCGTTCTTAATCTTAAATACCGGCTTGTTGGGTTTTTGGTTTGGGTTGTTCCTTGCCTGTCAATCCACGTCCCGCCATCTCCACCCAGTTATCAATTGTTTCATAACATCGGGTGCTCATAGCGCGAATTCTGACACTTTTAATTGCTCTTACATTAAATTTAATGGAAGATGAGTCAAAATTGTGCGGTGCGCACGTGGCCTGCTAACTAGCCCATATGTGCAATTGTCCACCAGAAATAAATTGTGGTTGTAGGAGCTGATCATCTGTCAGATGAACAGAAATATTACAGGTCAGAAAGGAACAGGTTGCAGCCCACTAATCAGCAACAGCCCAGTAAAATTCCATTCAATCTTCTGGTCGAAACAGCTAATTTGAATTTCGCCTTTCTCACGAGGACAACCAATTCGCTCCGTTTTCCAACGACGGCTTCCTGGTTATATATTTCGAACCTCTGCTGCACACCGTACCTTTACACTCACTATCTCCCAAGAGGAAAATAGCAGCTCTCTCACCAATGAAATATTGATTGAAAAACAAGAGACGGTAGCGCGTGCGGCGTTTTAATGGTTCAGTAATGAGAAATCCCAACGCAGAACAGCTCGATAAATCTCCAAGGTGTACAGAACCTGGCTTGCCGGGGGGGGGGTGGACAGCGGTTTATAGACTCCAAATGGATGTGTACAGAAGGGTTTTTCTCCTCTATAGCGTCTAGTTTTCCTATTAAAATATGAGAGGTGCTTTTTGTTGGGCGATTGTTTGCTTTATTTTTTGTCATGGGTGTGAAACCAATAGTAGTAAATTCTTTGTGCATCTCGAGAGGAAATCGAGGAATATTTGTCATCAAGAATCTAAAGAAAAAAGGAAAGAAAAGAACCGAGCCGAACGGATTGCTGACTTTAGGCAATGGGATTGATTTTATATCGATATTTAATGATTTAGCCTAAAGGTCTTTTCTTTATAACTTTCGGTCTGAACACCCGCTCGATTTTTGCAGAAAGGTGGCAGACGTTAAGGTCATGGTATTTACCAATTTTCAAGCGATTACGGCAAACTTCACCAGAGACATCTCTTAAAATAGACTTTTTAAATTTTTCAACCCGAGATCGGTAGAGAGCGCTCGAGTGTTGCATGATGTCATGACGTTGAAAGTAGGTTCGCATCTATTATCAAATTCAAATGACAAAGCACTTCCAGTTTTGAAAAATTGAAGTAGGAAAAGCTAGATATGCTGATTGTCCACAGACAATGCAAGTGGCTTTTTCGCCTACATAATATTTGAAAAGGTTATACTATGATTTTTTATGAGTACGATTGGAATTTGATTTCAACGATACTTCTCTGTTAGTTGTCAATAATTTGAAACAAGATGTAACTACATGTATTCTCTTTTGTACCTTATCAGTTCGAAGCAAATTTTACTGTTAATATTTTGTGTGAAATGTGTTATTGATTTCTAATTTTCCAAAAAACATAAGAAAAATCAAACCGATGACGTCAATGTAATGTCATTTCAGATTTCGTGTACTATTATCTTCCCACTAAGTTTCATGACGATTGGACGAAGGTCCAATCGTCATGAAACTTAGTGGGAAGATAATAGTACACGAAATCTGAAATGACATTACATATGGGAATATGGGAAAATGCATGACGTCATCATAAATGTGATTTTTAAAACACATGTGATTTTTAAAACACATGTAGAGGAAGCTCTACATGTGTTTTAAAAATCACATTTATGATGACGTCATGCATTTTCCCATATTTTGTGCATGTACCTATTACTGACAAACATAATACAAAAGAATTTTGAATTTATTGTATTGCGCGAGTGAGATATAGCAAAACCCTTAAAAACCCTTAAAAACCCTTAAAAACTTCAAAAATATGTAAAATATCTTATGATGACGTCATGATGACGACACCTCAATTTTTATCTCTAATAAATCCCAGTATAACCACATACCAAGTTTCAACCCAATCGGGCTTTGAAATATGCAACTTTGCGATGACGTCACATAATACATGATGACGTCATCGTGAGTCACCATTTGGCATACATCTATGCCATAAGGACTATGCTTATGTCACCTTTGAATGATTTGCGTCAAAGATTAATGGCAAGAGTGCTGCACAGAAAAAAACGTGTGCAAAGTCTGTGGGTTTTGGTCTCCAAAAGAAGACTCCCTCCCCCCCAAAAAAAGCAGAACAAAAAGAAAGACTTTTTCGCAAAGGTTGCGAAAAAGCCAAAGTGTCCGAAACAGCTAACAAGTAGTCTTCACTAGCCTTTTCAGGCGTAACGTTAAATACTTTCGCTTGCTTTTTACACGCCTTTGGGTGGGAAAAGTGAAATGGCACCCCTAACAAACCCTTAAACAATACCCTATTTAAAATGTATTAACGGCAGAATTATACATGCGCCATTCCGATCACAAGTTGAAAAGTTATTTGTTTGAGGCGATTACTTGGTGGTAGCTGCAGCAATTAGCCTATTTGCCGCGTTCGGAGCTACAAATTTGGTGGGGGATGTAACAAAGACAATTTGTCATCCTTAGTGCAAATATTACACACACATTGATGGCGAATATTATCGCAAACTGAAAAATACAGCTACCTAAGATGCACGTATAGACCCGTTTTAATTGTTTATAAACATTGAACGCCATTTTGTACTTGTCATCAAGCCCCATAAGAAAGTGAAACTGTCGAAAAAGTCCATTTAAGTATTGTTTCAACTTAATTCCATTTTTCGTTCATTTTTCTAGATATATTGTATAAAAAACATTGGATGATGTTGTCCAGGAGATGATCCAGTGCACATTATGAACGTTGTCCTGAGGTCTTATAGCTTTAAAATCTCCGAAAAATGGTCTCCACATTAAGTTGCTTCCTCGAAGGACTTTGGCCGAAATGTCCCCCAAAATATTTAGCAATTGAAAGCTAATAATCTCGTTGAGAATTTGGACAGGCTGGTACTAAAGTGCTATAATTTTTTATACGAAAGATTTTGTTCTTGATGGGATTACGAACAGCTCGTGGAAACCATTGAAGTGTTTCTGAGCGTCATGCATTCAGCAACTTTCGGCTTTTGACCACTCTAAGTAGTTGGCATATGGAGCTGTTGTGTAATAAACAGTTTTAAATCTGTATTGTGTATTGGAGGTTTTTATCACGAGGTTATCCTCATCTCCTGGAATTTATTCCGAAATCATCCCAGGAAACCTTCAGAAATGTAATGAAAGGAACGGCAGTACCACTATCGCTCAGTGCTTTGAGGCATAGGCCCTACGGTATGATTAACTTTTTTTGCAATTTACCTGAGCAATCTGCTTTTGGTATAAAAGATCCAGCAAGCCAAAAGAATGCATTGTCATGTATTTGCCTATTTCATTAAATGTGATGAAAGTTATAACTTCTGGGTTTCATAGGGTTTTTTTGTATAAGGCCGAACTTTTATCCTGCAAGTTGGCAAAGGTTAAGTTTAGATTTTCAGGTTCTTATGCACTCTGCAGTGATTTTTGTCCTTTTATTTTCAGAATACGCTTGCTTGAGACAAAGCCGCAACTGCGGCTTCTACAGTGAAGTCTGCCTGAATCGATCCGTAGAGGTGAAAAGGGCTTGCGATGGACACCAATCCAGAGGAAAGGTTGTCTGGATCGCTAGCAGAGGTCGAGGGTCAGACTGCGGTTCCTACCTCTCCGCACGGATCTGCCATTAGCCAGCAATCCTCTACGTCACGGAGCAGCGCACGATCTAGCCACTCATCGCCCAAATCAGGACTCCGCCAAAAGACAATAGTCTGTCGGAAACACTGCACCACTGTCTTAGCTTGTCTCTTAGTCGGGGTTATGATTACCCTGGGCAGCGTGGCCATGACAGTCTGTGGATACTTCGCCATGAATATCGCCAGCGAGACTGTGCGGTCAGAGAACTCGACCACGGTACTCATAGATGAAGAGCTTCACGAGAATCTCAACAAATTCCGGACTTTCGGTCCTGTCATGATTGGCTTCGGGAGCTTCCTCATCATGTGCGCATGTGTGTTGCTATGCGAAGAAAAGGACAAGAAAACCAAATCTCGCACTCAGGCGAATGAGAATCTGCTGAGTGAACATGAGAGGATCATGCAGGAAGCTCGGGAACGCTTTTACAACGAGAACAGAAATGCATTACTGGTTGAATCCCAGACAGTGGATTACCGGACTCCTAAAGCTTCATCCAACGAATTAACTTCATGTATAGAGTGTGACACGAATAACGCCATGATTAAAGTTACACCCTTAACACCATCTGGTGCAGAGACTGACGCTGTGAGTGGTGCGTCTGGTTCTCCTGTTGTTCTTGTTCATGGACCAACGATCGTAGAGCCAGCACAGTGTGAAACTAGTGACAAAAAGCACTTGACTAACGAAAACGGGTTTGTAAATAACAGTCCTTCCAATTCAAATCACAGCAGTCCAGATCGTACAATTGGCAGTCCGGCTCGGAGCTTGAAGAAAAACAATGCAGTCGGGCCGTCGCATATCGAGGATGTGAGCAGTGAGCTGGCCATACCAAGTACTTCGGTTCTACCAAAAATCGATCCCTCACGAAGTAGCAATGGGGTATCGCGTGCAGGGGGAGCTATTCCGAAATCGATTCTTGTGCAGCCGCTAAAACTGTCGCCTATTCGGAGTGTGAACGGACCCATCAGGGTAAGACTCGATGATTCGCCAACGGAACTGTCTCCTTTCACTCCGTCCAGTGCATCAAAGTCTGCTGAATGTTTACCACAGCCCCGCAGCCCGGGATCGACACCAAGAAGGATTAAGCGGGGCAAAAAGAAGAAGTCGGCAGGCAGCTTGCAGGCCAGTGGTTTCAGTCAGTGCCGCTGCCTCTCAGACCCTTCCATGTCGTCAGCACGGTCTCAAGACAGACATGTAGACGCCTGTTGCTGCTTACAGCCCGACTGCTGCTGGGGAGGCCATTGTCAGTTGGATAAATCAATACCGACGTCATCACCGAGTGCAACTAAAAGCACTGACGACCCTTTGGCGGACTTAGTAGCTACTGACAGCAAGGTCAACATTCCCTTGTTGCAACCTTTGAAATCAGACATGGCTGTCAACGCACAAAGCACTGAGTTGAAACCAAAGAGTATAGGTGAACTTGTCGCAGCTGATAAAGAAAACTGTAGGAATAAAGAAACCATTCTGGATAAACATCCAAATGGTGAAAATAAGATGACAAACAAAACAGACGCTCCCCAACCCAAGGGGGCTCCGTCTCTGCCCACTTCAGAAGCGGACAGCGAGTATTTAGCTGCGGGTGGGAAAAACTTGACACAAGATGAGACAAATACAGAGGCACATATCATAAAGGATAGGAATTCCAACATCAAAGTGTCTTCCACGCGGCAGGATACATCGGGAAAGAGCGTCCCTTGTAGCGGGCAGGCAAAAGGTGGCGTCATGGTGTAGCCAGTTTTAAGCCATCTCCGTTTATTTACCGGAGAGTTCACATCACTGTCAACGTTCTCAATTCACTTTGGAGAAGTGCAAGCTACAACAAAGATGTTCAGACCTCTCCAAGGAGTTACGTTCGATAAAAAACACCATGTGGTAACTGTTCAAATGTTTTCATTTGTGACCGTGGTATTATAAAGGTTATTTCAAAACATGGTGTATTTAAACGTATTGGGTCTTAGTTATTGGTAACCATTAATGTAGCTCATCAATGTGAACGTGTAGGTCTCTCGTTTAAGTTCACTTTTGGAGTGAGGACGTGTCTGAAATAAAGTTTTTGCTGCTGGTGGTAACACGTCTATCCTCCCACGGAGTAGCCGCTGACCATGCAGGTTATTGTGGACAAAGAGTAATCCCTTCAGGATATTCCGTCCTATCGCTGCCAACAAAATACACATTAACGCAATACATACCCCACGAATACCGATGTATTTGAGGAACTTCTGAGCAACTGTGTAACGGTACAATGGCACGTAACATGTTTAAAGCGGGGATGGAGTCCTCAGTTGGGACATTGCTGATAGCCATTCCTAGGATACGTTTCAGGAGCGGTTTGGACGGGGAACGAATAATCCATTCATACTGGCTGTAGTCATTCATTGGGACGAGGCCAATAGACAGGGTATTTTAAAAAAACGTAATCCTACTTCAAGGGCTTAATACGGTCATACAAAATTTAATCATTGAACAAGAACGCGAGTCTTGAGGTTGTTTTATTAAGGGAATAAATAATTGTGCTTGACCGGTTTTAAACGTGCGTTTAAGACCGGCTCAGGAGAATGGACGCTGATAGTGCCCTCGCCTACGGCTCGGGCATTAAACGTTAGTTTAAGACCGGCCAAGTACATATTTATTCCCATTCATGAGTGAGTCAAAAGAAGTAAACGTGATGGATTTCGAACGATTTCGTTCCAAAAAGTTACTTTCGTTTTCCCAGCGCCCTGTCTATTTTATGGTATATTCCTTTTGAAAGTTGTCCAATAGAATCCCTTTCGATGAACTTGGCGCGTGGAGAACACGAGTGGCATGCACACAGACTGCTAACCGATCAGACCCGATTAACACTCCTATCCATGCGCCAGCGCGTGATTTACGCAGTAGGCAGTATGACTTCACAGCGGGCATCATTAAATGTTAATACGCGGTCACGTGACGGGTTCAGACCAATGGGAAGAGAAAAACTGTCAAGGTAAAAAAAATGTTCGGCGTGAAAGTGTTCCGACCTTAGTTTTGCATATCATGCCAAGGTGAAGCTACTTGGTGATGCATGACCCTGGAATGTATCCTAGGTCTTAAGATAAATCAGTTTAGTGCGGAGCACTTCTGCAAAAGGTTTCCTGCCAAAAAAGGAAATTTTGAAAAGAACATTTGCTATGGAATTTTGCGGAAAACCGACAAATTTAGGCCTAATGAATACAGCGCACAATACCTTCGAGCGACAACTAGCTTGCTCGAATGCTGCCCATAGTGACGTCACAGTTCTGCAGATAGTTCTCCATCTTATGCCCCTCTTCGACACGACACTTTGGCATTATTGAAAGCATGTAGCCTCCGCTGTATGATAATACACTGTACAACGATTTTGCTGGTAGGCTGACAATTGGCTGTTTTTAGCGTAAATGCAGGACTACTTCTTGAAAGATCTTGTTCAGGAATTGGCTGTAGCATCAGCCAGTCACTTTGCCATTGTGATACCTTCCCACCCACACGTATCGACTCAACAGTGGCAGAAATTTGTGCCAGGAACTGGCGGATAGAAGATGGGGGATTGTGGGGATGACTTGCCCAGCCGTAGAATTGTGAAAAAGGATGAGGTGGGGGATGCTGACACTATACGACACTGGGGTGCGATGTTCACGATACAGATGTAATATGTATTACACTCCTGCAGAACCTTATACCAGCAGAACCTAACATTTAAACGGCGTATTTATGGCCTTTTTAATTTTACCATTTTGAGTGCTATTGAAAATATTTTTGGGAAGTCCTAAAGATTTCTCATAATCTGCCTTGATTGTTTCTTACCATGAAAAAATATAGGGTTATTGTTCAATAGTCCCCTAGTCAAAAAGTACGGGATCTAGCCGTGGAATCTTATTTACGCCCATGCCAATGGTTTTGTATTTACACGATACTCAAAAGATGGGAATAACAAATCTCGAATCGGCTTTAATGATGCACAACATGAGACGGGCACTAAAGAGGGTAAAGATCTTAGGTCTTTGTATACAGGACATTTCCTAATTTGGATATCTGCATTAAAAATTAGGTCACTGTGTGCCATTCGTAATAACATCTGAAAAAAAGATTACACGTCATATTTCATATAATAATTTCATTGCATTTGTCATTTGCATGACTGTATTCCAATGTGTTGGGAGTTATGATGTTGTATTACAGGGGAAAAACCAAGAAATACCTTGGGATTTCTCGAACTGTATGTCCGAATTTAGTCCCCAGGGGTAAAATCTTACGGCTCAATGAAGCTGCATTTACTACTCTAAAACATCGAGTTGTTGTTTGGTAAAATTAAGTTTCATTGAATATTCATTTTGTTCCAACAGTAATCGCTAGGAACTAATTGCCCTGGTTAGAACCCGTTTTAATTTTTATACTGGGCTATGATTGTTATAACTATCTGACAATCCAAGCAAGTAACGAAATATAAGCGCTATAAGCGGATGGGGGGGGGGGAATCGGGTTCATGCCACCCCAACAAAAGTTTGGTTTTAAAAAGTGATGAAAAAAGGGTGATTTTTGGACTACTTCTGTTGCCTTCTAAAAGCGTGTAAAAAGCTCCCAAAATTAGCATCATCCCTCATGAGGGCAATAAAAACGAAACAGAGACCCCCCCTGAAGACTTGTTCCTGGATCCGCCCTAGTGTTTAATACACTAACATTAATGCTTGTGCTCTGTCCCCACGAATCTTCTCCTAAACCCGAGCTGTCTCTTTTAATGGCGACTTTAGAAGTGGCAAAAGTAGTGTGATTAGTGGCCATGACCGTCCAAAATGTGAAGCATGATTTACAGCCAGCCTTGATTTGGCTCGTTAATCACAACTCTTTAAGAATCCACTGTAATACCCTGAAGAATCAAGTACTTGTCTTGGGGTTCCTCGGCACGAACGTTCCGTTGAATATAGGATTTCCTGAAAAAGTGAATAAAACTATGCAAAAAGGTTGTTTGGGGTTGAATAATAAAATCGGTTGTCTGACCTTCAATTAGAGTCTTCGCTTTTGCGATTCCTACGAAAATCAAATGATAATGTTTCAGCTGAAGTTTCCTGGAATCAAAACATCCATGCAGTGTTTTTAGGCTGCCAGAATATCAGCAGGTTGTCCTTAAAAGAATTGTTTGCTATAGTCCGTCTAATGGTGACTGTACATGTATATGATAGTCTAAGGATAGTTTCAGTGGCATGCTAGCTTACATGGGCGACATAAAGGGAGCATGGAGACACCCGTGCAACTACCCACCGCTGCTAATAAACGAGACTGTTACAGCAAACAGCCACGATTCGAAGCGTTTTGTTGATATTATAAGCACCAGAACAGCGTAACAGGCTACGAGATGCTTCTTTAAAAGAAAGGAAAAAAAGGGAAACTTGTTGAGCTGGATTGAAAGGAAAGGTTTAAAATTGTAGGAGTCCATAGTTCGAATCTGTTTTGGGGGTTTGCTTGTTTATGTTTTGGCGCAAGCAGTTTCCTATTTTAAAAAAAATCAATTTTGGAAGGTATTTTAATAAAATGCCTAAATCTATATATTTCTGTATAGTTCATTTTATTCAAAGAAAGGACCACTCACTTCAACGCCTTATTGACTCCAGCCCCACTTCTTAGTGTCCGTGATACAGATTGTTACTTTCACGTTTCAAATGCTGCCTCTTTGCTATAAAGCTCTGTTTATCAACAGCGATGGGTAGTCAGATCGGTGGTTAGAAATGTCCACAGTAATATTTTTGTTTTGTGTCTAGGGACGGCACCCACCCTCCTTTCCATTCATGTGAACAGTGCGCACAATTTATATGCAACGTTTCCATTGTAATCAACCTGTAAATTACAAAAACAAAATTCTTTTGCTTGAGTACGTGTAATTTGTAGAGATTTATTTGCATAATTCGAAATATTTTGTAGCAAGATCTAATAAAGAATGTTTATGCTGGAAGTAAAGAATGGTGGCGATCTTTATATCAGTCTAGCCCGTTGGGTCGTTACCTTAAAGTTACCTTTTTGTCATTGCATGAATTATCCCTTTTCATTTGCAGAAGGCATTTATAAGTGAAAAGGTTCACATTTGTTTTTTAGTGGCAAGTCAAACCGGCTAGCAATTCCCCCTGCATTCTTGGACAGTCTTGATTGCAGACTTATTTTAACATGAAAATTATTTGGTTTCGGATTGACCAAGTAGCGTCCTAAATGGATATCAAGTTTTGACTATATTGACGATTTTCTTTTTCGACCGACCCTATTTCGGAGTCCTGATTTGATTCCCTTAAATTTAAAAGCCACAGAAAGTAACGTTGGATTTGGAAAGCACCGCGCAGGAAACAATGCATTCCCGTGTCTTAACCCTCAAAGGGGGGGGGAAAATCCGCTCCCCTGTTGGTTTTTTCTTAAAGCATCTCTAAGATTATTTCCTGCGTGCTAATACTTTATGACAATTTTTTTCCAATGTTTTATCTTCATTTTGACCCCAGATTTATGAAAATCGGACGTGGCGTTGTCTTTTAGCGACGAATTTTTGAAGGCAGGGTGAAGCGTGATGTGAAATTTACCATGACTTTGTACACAGCAGTACACCGTACGTAGGACAGAGTGGTATCCTACCATGAATAATTAATTAGTCATAATTATGCAAAAACTCAATTAATTTACATGAAATCTCACACAGATGATAAATATGGATGCCTCTATGAAATTGCCAAATTTCATTGAAGTACATCATCGTACGGCTGAGATCTGGGGGGGGGCGACCCCTGTAACAAGGCCAAACAAGCCCGGCTCTTTGAGGGTACATGCGTGGTGCGACCACAACCACAACCATCCTGGGCAAAGATTGGTTATTTGTCCTATGATTAGCAACTCGTTATATAACTCACTATAACAAATCATAAGAAAACACGCACTCGGTATTACATTAAGACATTTAAAGGTCCCCGATGTGTCTGCAATTTTCAGTTCTTGTTTTTCAATCCACCAACCCAACTTAAGAGGAAAATACAAGAACCACAGAGGAAAAATGAAAAACAGCAAAATGAATCAGTCCACCTATGGAATGTATGACATAACCGACGTTTCTTTTTTATCAAATGACCTGCATTCTGATTATATCTATTTTTTTGCGAAGGAATCCAATGCGTATATCCGAACTTTCTGCGAGTGGCATCCCGAACATTTATTTTTCAGATTCAACTTGAGTATTCTCGCATTATATTAAGTGTGACGCCTTTTGTAACGAGGCACTAACCACGCATTAACATGGGCCCGCAGATTCCATGTTTTGATGTAAATAAGGAGGACCCCGTTCAATCCTAAACTGTATGTCGATCGGTTTAAACTCCCGTACGGGCGATTCACAAAAGGGCGCCTCCAAGAGTTTGCAACGCGTTGACCCAAGGCCCGAAATCTGTCGACCCTTTCCAAAGGCCCATTTTGGGTTGACAGATTTCGCGCACTGTGATTGGTCAAACTCTTGGGGCGCACTCCTGTGAAAGGCCCGTATTGCATTTGCTCGTTCTCTCGTTTTCAGTGAGAGGCAAACACTGCTTTTCCCGAATTCCCATAACCACTGATAAAAGGTTGATCATTCCTCATAGCATTAGGTTTGTAAGAATATTACTTGAGTATTTGCCATTAAAAGCCGAATTAATCCAAACCACATTCCAAATAACTATATGGAATAACATTCAACAAATGCAAATACACACTAGTTAATTACATTATCTTTTGAGTTCAATGTCAGGTAACAGAATATGCAATTACTTGAAAGGTTATCGGGTGATCGTTTCACAAGATATTTTGATTATTTCTTTTGTTCCAAGTAATTTGCCAGGTCCTCCTTCCATATGAAAGACATAAACATTACAATACTACAACAAAGATATTAAACGTTGATACAACTATCAAGTCTACCAAACCAACACCTTACTCAATTTAGGGCAGTGCTCTCAGAAAGATGCAAAAATAATGCTAACAGCCTCACTGGAATGTAGTAATGTCCAAACTCTCACTAAGTTCGAACTCAAAACACGGTGCAGGGGAACTATTGCCACTCACTACTTCTCCTGACATTTCAGTTCAATAGGTCAATACAAAGAAAGAATGCTTGTTCTTGTTCACTTTGTTTTCAGAGACATGATGCATTCATACTTTTGCCACTTAAATACATTCGATATTTATTCCGACAATATTTTTTTCAGTGTAATCAGTCAAGAAATCTCTCAACTTTCAATTCACAAAAAACGCTCAAATATAACCAGTCATATTCTAATAACAAACAGAACCTTAAAAAGAAGCATGTCGCTTATTATCCAAGTCCTGTTATTTCTCACTTTGTAGTGTTTAAACTTAATCAAAATCCCATCAGACCGAATCTGCTACTTAGTTACTCTAGATGTTAAATACTGGCTAGCTGTGCAATATTTGTGCTAGGTCCCATATATTTCAAAAACTACAGTGAAATTAAATCAAACTTTCAAGCAGAGTGTAGCCTTTTCACCTATTGCATTTACATATAGGTGAACCACTTGCTGTCTATGTCAACATCTACATCTAAATATGTCAACTTCTACTTACATGAATCTCACAAAATGTACTTTTTTCACTTTATCAAGAAAAAGAAAAGGCACAGTGACAAAGGCTTCCAAAAAGAATTACCCTGTTTTTTTATGAGGTACCTAGATAGAATATCATGATTCAACGTACACTGGGGCATCAGCTTCAGATATTGCTGGTTTGTTCCCAAGGCAACTTTAAACAAGATCACCAACTAAAATCACTAATCAAGTTATATTATTTACAAACTTGTTGCTAATTCCATTTGCCTTATGTTTTATTTTGGTCCTATATGTGAACAAGAATGGCAGAAACTGAAACAAATGTCAAGTATAACTAAAAGACACTCATACCATCAAGAAAATGCTGGCAACTGACAAAGTTGTCAAAGGACAATTGTCATAATATTGAGTCAGTAACAGCATCAATTCCAACCGGGGAAATTTTCCAAAACTGCAAGAAAAATACTACTACTTATTGTCATGAGTAAAGTATACGCTTGTAGGAAGTGACCAATAATTATTTGATCTATACAAAAAGGTCTTGGCATTGCCACAGTTTTTTCTTTTAGATAAAATTTTGAAGTTTTTGTAAATAACAGATGCATGTGTCACATGTCCGAAGGATACAATATGAAGGAATGTTCAACAATGGAAAGTGTCCTCTTTCAAGTGAACATTCAGTGGTGTTAGAAACAGTTCCTGTCGCAGTTTACAATGCTTAGGTTTTTATTATCTTTTGCATAAACAAGAGGTGTAAAAGGCCACAAATTCTTCAGGAAAAAATTGGAAGTTTGAAACTAAGGCTGTACAAAGTACAGTTTAGTGGCTATCTTAAATACAAACGTGGTGATTTTAATTGAGGCTGGATTCTAAGACTCAATCCTTGATTTGTTGATGACTCCTCAACACTTGCCAAGTACTGTTGCAAGGAGTGCCATTCGAACATACATGCCACATTCAGCCTGACGAAAGTATGCAGCTCTTGGATCACTATCCACATCATGACTGAAATATAAATAAATTAACACTTAGACAACAATGTG